CATTGTTATATAAATGAAATATATAAGTTTTAATACTAAATAATGGCTGAAGGCGGTCATGAGTACATCCCTATGGATGATATGGGTGATGTGGATTACGATGACACCACATTCACGAACAACCCCTTAAGTGCTGAACTTGTACAGCCGGCCGTCGATGATTATTACGCCGCAGTTGAAAAGAGAGACAACATGAAGCCGTTGGTACGAGACTATGCCAAGTTTACCGTCGATAAGAAGGGCACGCTGCGATTGAAGGCTCACCCGGGGATCGATATCATGAAAAAAGACGGGAAAGGGCCATATGCTTTGTCAACACTCACCAGTCGCCCTGGTGGGAGTCAACTGATCCGTGAGGAACTAGGCTTCATAGATTACGGTGGCTGACGACCTAAGCTTCCCCCGAAGGTCGTCCAAGATCTGCAAGCAGCCAGGACTGAACTCAGCAATACAGGGGATGCTAAAGAAACATCGGACAGTATCGAAAAAATATTGGCCACGTACCATGACAAACCCTTGCCGGGGCTCGAATTTCCCCTGAGGGAACTGCGAGGCCTAGACGAAGCCTTGAAACATGTACGCGGAGAACTCGTTAACAACATGGGGAAACTGGACGAAGTCGACGAGCACATCGCTCGCGAGAAAATAAAACTCATCGAAACGGAGGACAATGATATGAAACGTTGTATCGAGGAGAGAATAAAAAACTTGGAAGATGAGAGACGGACTCGGTTTGAATCCGCTTCCTCGAACCGGGAAGCCCTCCGATCCCAGATCAGTCGTGTACGGGAAACCATCGATCGAGTCCTAAATGACGACACCATGCTAGCTGACAGGATCCGAATCCTCTTCCGAGAGCAAGGGATTACTATCGCCAGCATTTTGACTGCAATGGGCTTCATCATATCAACCCTGGTGGTGTCATTGACGCCTGCCGGCGGCAGTGGTGCACCAACACCAACACCACCAAGTGGCGGGGCGTCAAAGACTGGATAAAAAAACTCGGGGAGGCCCTGGCTAAACTGGCTGGTAAGGCCGCCAAAGCCCTACCCGGCATCCTGGGTAGCATCGTCTCATGGCTGCTGAGGGCTCTGGCTAAAACTGCCATGTGGCTAAGTCAAAACCTGTGGGCAGCCATCGTCGTCTTGGCGGGTTTGGTGTACGTAGCGGCTAAGGAATGTTTAACCAAATAAGTCCCAAACCGACCGCTACCCCGCCAACCACCAGGGCTGTTTTACGGTCGATGTGCTGCTGATTGGACGCCTGCTGTGGGGGTGTTGGTTGAGCCCTAGGCTCCGGGGGTGGCACCACTATACCCGTTTCACCGGTCGTGGGTGGTGGGACGTGGGGGGTGTTAACATCAGGGTTGACGCCCAACTTTTGGGCTGCCGTGGCTATGACTATTTCGTTGTTGTAGCCCACCACTTTTTTTACTCTGAGTTGCATATCGCTCGGAGCCATGTACAGCCCCACGTCGAAGACGTAGTCGACTTTTGCCCTCGCGTATTCCAACACGTCTTGGTAGCGTTTGATGGCACTCGGGAGATCAACTGGAGAATTGATAGCATCCTCAACGTTTACAAAAAACTGTTTCTGAGCGTCGTAAGCAGTCCCCTTACCGAGGATGTTGGAACGCGTTTGCGTCTGCGCACCCAACAGCGCCCACACGTACGTTCGAATCGAATCGAGTCGTTCAACCTGATTACACCGGCACGAGGAAACCCTCTTGACGCACCACACGGCAAAGTTGAGTTGATTCTGCCAGAACTGCATCGGGTTGTTGAACCAAGCATGAACCACCTTAGCGTTAGGCACCGAAAACCTATACAGGCCGAACACATCTATGAACTGGGCGTCGAAATACATCCCATCAGCGACCACGATCTTCATGTGGGGGAAATCTATGTCCAGTTTAGGGTAAAACACTCCAGGGGAGTAAAACACTCCTTGGGAGTACATTTTAAAACTATTATATAATGAGCATATATACTCTAACATGTACATAACACTTCCAGGAATAACGAGCGGCGAGGCCGTTCAGCTGACGCACGCGATCGATAACACGTCTGGTCAACTCGAAGTCGCACTCTGCGATATCACCTACCTACCGCGATGGACTAACATCAACGTTAACAACAATAAGCTGTTCGTCAGTGGAGCTCGCAGCCAGATAATCGCCGGCTACTACAGCGTGTGCTCGCTAAGCGATGAGATCTTCAAGCCCCTGGGAGCCGAACTCAAGATGAACGACTCAAACGGCACAGTTGTGTTAATCAACAACGGAAGAAACTCCTTGCGACTCGGTCGACCATTGGCGAGGACACTCGGTATGTCGCCTGACGAGATAAAATGAACAACTACTGTCACAGGCACGAAGTTACCCGATGTAGTACCGTACCGAGAGCTGTGCGTTCATCTCGGCCAGGTGAGCACAACGGACAACATTCAAGGTGGGCACCCTTCCATGATACTGAGAGCAGTACCGGTGAAAACGGAGAAATACAACGCAGTAGAACCGAGTCGTTTTCACCACGGCAGTATAAGAGGTTAACCCAGGGCAACATCCCTGAGCTGATAATATCGGTGTTCGATATAAATCATAATCCCATGAATATAGGATACCTCAGCATAACGCTGCAAATAAAATGACCAGCGCACAAGGCCCCGGAATGAAGTTGAAAAAATGCATCAATGTGGGGATCTCCGACCTCGGGGAAACACGCGGATTTGACGACCCCGGAGTAGATGGTAAATTGTACGCCTTGCAACTGAAAAACAACATTTACAAACGCGTTGAAGTCCCCTCCATCGGTGGTACTAGCAACCTAAGTGATATAGTAGATACCTCAAGAGCGGTCGTCAACACTCGGTACACCTCAGTCAACACCGGTGATGATAAATGGATAATATACCCATCGTTCGGGGGCAAACTGTTCGACTTAGACGATGTTGAGAGCAACGTGACGGCCATCACCAAAAATAAGCAATATTCCCTCGTCTTAACCGACGACGACACGTGGGTGTTGGTGCCCGCTAAAGTCGACTGGTTTCTCAACATTAGGCTCGGCTCCCCCTACGTGTTCACGGAGAACAAAGACAACTACCTAAACAAAGTCGTGAACAACGGAACCCTGATCGTGGCTTACGTCCCGACGCAGAGACGTAGTGTAATCATCAGTCCACTCGCCAGTATGGCAGCGCACATTCTATCTAGCAAGCCCGGGATGCAAAACGTGGTATTGCAGTTGGTGTCTGAATTCGAAGGCGTGGTCAACATCCTGGAGAGTCTACCAGCGAACTCAACGCTGGTCATCCAAGTCTACCTAGGGGAACCATCGCGGGATGAAGTCGAAATCGTGAAGGGGATCAAACTCCGATGGGGGAAACGACACCAGTATCACGTTTGCACTGTTTATGTGCGGGTGGATGTCGACTCCTACACCAGTCTGCAGGGGGTCATCGTGACTGTGGAAGACACGATATCCCTCACCAAGATCTTCCTACCCGACAACATACACTTCATGGGGGTGAAGTGCATTCCTGAGAAATTATCAGAAAAACAATTGGAAACTATCTCGTAATAGTATTATAGCAATGACTAGGCATCGGCCCAATGCTACGCTAAACGACCTAGGGGACACGGAGGGATTCGATCAGCCTGGTGAGGAAGACACCTTATACATCCTGCACTTCAAAGACAACGTGTATAGGCGGGTGTCGTTATCAGATTTTAAAGAGCCTGAATGGGTAGTCAACTTAACCCTCGCCTCACCTTATATCTCATTAAAGGAACAAAGTCGTATCTCTGAAATTAAGAATAGTGGTACCTTGCCCGGGTGTTTCATTCCGGGGCCTAATACAAGGATTGTACTAAGACCGGTTTTACCCAATATGTTACAGCCATTCCACGGGGGTGAGTTAAGGTATGACTGCTACGGGCACATAGGGGTTCCGGCTATGGTACCAGGCTCCACACTCATAATAGAAGTCTATCTCCTGAGAGCTTTTACCCGGGGTGACAGTACACTGGAGTCCCCGGACCCATGGTCAACGTTACCGTATCATCATACAACCGGACCCCTCAACGGGTTCTATAGTCCCCTCAATAAGCCCCTCCTATGGGGCTCATGTGGATGCAGAGTTACCTATTAACTTCTCACCTATTCTCCTACATGAGGATTTATACCTTATAAGCCTCAAGTACGTTGATCGACTGTTAACTGAAGCCCAATTAAAACATATCTCATAAGATATATTATAGGCACACAGGATGGGGCTGTACCTAGTCGTAGAGGAAGTAGCGAAGACCGTGGAAACCGTAGACGGGTTCCGCTTGAGACAGTTATGTGATGTAAAACGCCAACTAGAACAAGACTGCGACACGCGGAAAGCACTATGTAAGAAGTACCATAGAGCTTTCAATATCGTAGATGGGGCTGAAACTGCCCTTATGACAACCAGCATGGGGCTAGGGGTGGCAGGTGTTGGGTTGGTAACTACCATCGTGGCTACACCCGTAGTGCTAGGTATCGAAATAACAGCTGGGGCGGCAGGGGTGTTAGGGTTGGTGGTTAAATTTGCATCACGCAGACTGCATCGTAAGGCATTGAAACATGATGAAATCAGGGTTCTGACCGAAGCAAAGCTAAACACGGTAAGTGAGCGTATTTCTACGGCACTCACTGACAGTAAGATCTCAGAGGAGGAGTTTCGTTCAATCCTCTCTGAACTCACAAAATATAACAAAATGAAACAAGAGATTCGATCCAAGTCTCGTAAGTCTGCTATCAGCGAGGACGAGAAAAAAAAGTACATAGAACAGGGAGTACGAAAAGCCCAGCAAGCCTTTATTACGAACACCAAAGAGATCATAGGCGATTCACATTAAACTGTTTCATCGAGGTCAACGTGGCATAGCGGCACAGTAGTGCCACGTGTGGGCGGGAAATTAACGGGGGCTCAAAAGTAGTAGATACAATGGTGGCGAGATCTAAGGGCGTGACAAAAGCCTTATTTGTGAAATAAGGCTTTGCAGAGGCTTTTGTTGGACTTGATCCCGTACCGCTATTACTCCTACTACTTGTCCATATACCCAAACTGACTTGTAATAGACAGTTTATGAACACAAGTACCTATAAGCGCCCATTTCTCCACAAACAATTTACAGAATTCGAACTATTACAAATATCGCCTTCTAATAATGTTTAGTAGTGATTATGAAGTCAAAGCAGGTTATAGTGGCTACCATTTGCTTTGAAAGACTTGGACATGAACGTAGAAAACAATATTTGTTAAACAAGCAGGTCCTCAAGTCTATGATCAAAGCTGCCCTTCTGACGCTGTCCGGAGTTCTGATCTATGATGTTTGAGGCAGTGACAGCTGGAAAGAGATCAGGTACTCTGGGTAGGAATGTGTATCCCGATAGATGCAGAACAGCGATGGTCGTGAAGTGTGATTTGTGGTTGAGGTAAACCTGACAGAGCGAGTAGGGTCAACACGGGGAGGGTCCCTCATAGTAGCATCGCCCTTGGTGTATCTGCCCGTCAGGACCCGAGCCCTGTAGACATATTTGATTCCATGGGTGTCTGGAGGAGAGTACATGTCCATAGAAGAGATGCTTGCACCCACGGCAAAGTACACACCTTGTCCGAAGAAAGTAGCTGAAATAAGAAAATTGATTGGCATCAAGTACTTCGGTTTAACAGTGCCGATAATATTTAAGCTTCATGTGGGAAACTGTCTTACAATTATATAACACTAATGCTAGAGATATCAAGTCTTGATTATCTGCCGAGAAAATAATGGCAGAGGTGTTCGCGAAGAGATGTGGTGGTATTTGGCGTTTCCTGAGAGACGAATATAAACGATTTGATTAGAACGTTTTTGATGACAAAGTACCCACGTTTGCAAGCTTCAGAGCAACACTCGACGCTAAAATGAAAGAACCTAATCGTAACGGAATAGAAATAAACATAAAACGAGCAGAACCTGTCTTCGAGGATGAAATGAAGTTATGGGACACAGGAGTGTTTGGCAAGGAAGTAGTATGGGTAACGACAGTCCGGGACCAGGGTAGCCAAAGCTTTATTACATAGATAAAGCTTTAGTCGGATACCTTATTCTTACTGTCATTACCTATACAGAAAGCCTTATTTCCTAAATAATGCTTTAGTTGGATCAAGCTATGAAAACATTTGTTTGATCAAATAGCCTCTATGTCGTGTTGACGGGAGGTAGCATTGTGTCATACGGTACGATTAATAATTCTTCTTTTACAAACCCTCTGCCTGGCCCATCCATTAAGTAGTACAAGGTAGGTTCGTCGGCTTTCATATCCACTTTATCTATGTTGTAAGTTTTGACTGACCATATTGGGTCAGTAGCTCGTTTCCGAGTATCCCCCTCGTGTTCCCCAGGCTCGTATAAATATCTCACTAGGGCCCTGTCTGGTATCTGTTTCTCCTTCCCACGCAAAGGAGCAGCCGGTTCAGCTATCACTGATTTTAGTTTGATAGCGTCTGCCGGTTTCTTGCCAGTGAGCCGAGTAACTTCATGGTTGATTGCCGACACCACCTTAGGTAACCTTTTGACCCATTCAGTCGATCGTTTTTCCAGGTTGGTCATTTCTCTCGCATACTGATACCGAATAAACGTTCAGCCAAAGTCTTATTGAATCTCTCTCAACTATAGCTTGACTGCGATGAGCCCCGGCAGCACCACGCCTGACCTTTGTATCGTGTTTATCCATCAGGTGTGACACGACACCCATGAATTCCCTCCTGGGTCAACTTGCAATACAGTAGGCCACGTCAGCGGACTGCGTTTGTATATGCGTTCGAATCCGCGGGCAACCTGGGCCGAGTCTTTCGTGGTCAATGGTTCAGCTTCCTTGTAGCGACTGGCTACGTCGACTACAGTTAAAGCATACTTGTATCTCTTATCGTGGGGTAGGAACAGTAGGTCTGCTTGGTGAACACTATTAGTCATATTAATACCAAACTTCCTTCTAGGTACATAGCGTGGTGGTGGTAAATATATCTGCCAAAGTGCTTGTTTTTCAAGCCATGTTTTGGCCTCCTCGGGGTACTACTCGGCGCCATTTTAGTCAGCTTATCTACAGCGCTAGCTCCTTTCCAGTACCCACGCGGACTATAGTAAATAGCCTCAAATTTTTTTTGGTTCCGTGACATGTCGCCCCGACAGGGTATTTATTTATATCTATGTTCTTGGTTCAATTTTCTCATGCCCGTACGCGTACGTGTTTATCCCATCAATAGCTATCCAACGTTTAGTATCCATAGGCGATAGGGACGTCTTGTTTATTGTCAGTCCGTATATCTTATGTCCATCACTTCTAAGTGTGTTCATTTTATGTTTAAAGGTACGGGTTTTGAACAGGGATTCCTTGAATATAGCGTGTTTGATGTGTTGTTTAACAACGTACTTCTTAACACCCTTAGCCTTCCGGATCTCACCATTGTCGGCCTTTAGTATGGAATACATCTTAGGTCTTAAACCGATGTACAGCAATGGGCGTGCCGGCACACTCTTGCCGAGGACTTTTTTATTTACCGTGCCGTGTAGGGCATGATCCTTGGGGTAGTCACTGGTGTCGTACAGGTGTATGTGTTTTTTTCATGTCATCGTACACGTCCTCGGTGTGTATATTTAGCAACAGGGAATCCGTGTCAGTGTACAGCACTTCACACCTGTCGTCGTACTGTTTCTTCAGCTCGTTGTAGTAAAAGTCATACATCAGGTGTTTGGACAGGTCGAGAATGCTCATCCCCACGTAAACAGGCCGGTTGAATTTTATGTGATTTTTCTTCATGTGTAGGGCAACTAAATCATCGGTGAATATCTTGCTACGGTTAAATGTCGGACTAGCGATCAGCTTCCTTAGCTTGTCTTCCTCATTCGACCGAACCAGCTTTACATCCACCCGTTTTCGCAGGTTCTCCATCGTCTTACCGAATACCGAGTTGTTCATGAGCTTATACAAGTTTTTCTCAAAATCACTGGTGGCCAGCCGCAGGTCTGTGTTCATTCTGATATAAAGGCTCCATCCAAGGACTTTGGTTGAATACTGAGCACTCTGTGTATTTTGGTCAGTTTCATACCCAACGACAGGTATAGCTGCAGGTTTGCGATAGTGTACGATGTACCTTGGTCTTGTTCATTAAGTTAGGCACGAGTTTTTCAACGCCCGTCACCCGCCTATCTAACAAGTTATGTTGGTATTCAGACATCCAGTCTGGGTTAACCCTCATACGTTCTGGAGCCAGGTGGTAGCTGTTGTGTGATGTGTGTAATGCCTTGGGATACTCCAAGTCAACTTCGAGGATATAACCTTTGTTCGAATCCGGCGTGATGCTCATAATATCGAAATCGGATGATACCCATTCGAATCCCCCTGTGGGTAGATACTGACTCATAGCCCATCCGTACAGGTTATTTGCGTCGAGGTAGAGAATGTGATTGGTTGGTTTGCTAGGGTCGTAGCCATTCACGTATTGATTATTATTTGCTTTAGCGTATCGTTTGGTTGCCATGGAGATCCCACCTCGCAAACCTTTCTCAATGAACAGGTGCATGTCATAATCAGTAAGCAATTCCAACTTAACTCCGGTCTTTTTTAAGCAAGGCATCCCACGACAGACCTGGGCTGGTGTAATACCATGCCGGATCTAGTTTATACTGCTTGATACATGTCCGCCTAAATGTCTCAAATACGTCGGCTAATAGTAGTAGTACATCCATCTTCAAGTACAGATCGTGATAGTCACCCAGGTTTTACAACCAAGTTTATTCCATACATTAATAGCGTACGAGTAATCGTCTTCGGATATTTCGAGTCGGTCAGATTGCTGTAAAATTCTCTGATGGGGGTAGTCTGGTCTCGGTGAACTTAGTCCAACTATCCATGTACTCATAGGGGTACACACCCTTCCTCATAAGCAGGGATCTAGTCTCGGCGTCTGTGTATCGATCGGTGATAGGAAGGTATCGTTGGCTTTAATCAGGCTTGCTAGTGACGACAATAGAAATTGACACGAGTCAATGAACCTAAGTCCGTCTAAGCTGAAAGAGAGATATTTCTCCATGTTGTTGGGAATGCACGTTATATTACCATCGATTTTCGCGATGGCCTGCATGATCAAGTGTGAGTCGTACCCTCTTAAGTTGTGAAAGACAACGGGGATGTTTATTGTCTTATGGTTGATTCTAAGTTTAAGGTTACACGCGTTGTGAGCGGCTCTACTTACTTACCAGTTATGTGACAGTGATCTCTCACCGAATCACCGTTCAGTGGTGAGTCACACACGTGACAGTTAATGCTACGGGAGTGAGCTAACCTGTCGGCTTGGGTCATACGCATGGGAGCGATTCTATACAACACGTTCCTAATAATTTCTTCTTCCTCCTGCAAACACTTTAGAAACCTTTCAACCGCGTTAGGACCCCTGTATACTACGGGAGATTTCGTTTCACCGTCACAACGGACGACTATGTATCCAAATCCACATGCTTCATGCTCTTGTCTTTTGAGTGTGGTTGGGGTACCCCCAACAACCCCGCCTGTGGGAGTATCCCCAACAACCTTAATAGGTTTGACCAAGGCCTCAAAGTCGGCGTATATGATATAAGGCACGGACATTTGGTTCTTGTGGTTGTCGAATTTTAGGATATTGTCACCTTCATTAGGCATATCAACGCGTATGGCTGTCTGCCCCACACCTTGGCAATACTCCTGGTGGGATTCTAATAAATCAGCTCGGCTGAAACCGCGCAGACATCGCATACAAAAGTGTTTTTTCCCATCGTGTTTCGACTGATCGTGCAACAACCGACTGAAATGTTTTATCCACGTGTAGTGATACTTTTCACCTCGTTGGATCATGAATATATTGATAACACGTTTCCCCACCAACGAGCTGAGCCTGTGTATTATTGTTGTATTGTCTTCGTGTCCAAAGACATTTATAGCTAGATTATTCTGTTTTTCTACTTTAGTGATCTGAGATATGGTGGTTGGTTCATCTATACCATCCCAGTTGAGTCCATCGTCTTGGGGATAGCTAGAAAGCCTGTCTGAATGAGTGTCAGCTGGAAACAAGGCTGATCTGATAGCTAATCTCAAGCAATCGTTTCCTCTATTCTTGACATTGACTATGGCCTGTTTTTCTTATAGTAGGGAGGCAAGTTCCTAGGTATGACCCACCTCTGAACGGCACGTAGTTAGCTATGTCTAGATAGACATTATCGATTTTATCTACAGCCCACCCAGATCCCAAGTGTGTGTAGCGTTCTAGGTATTCCTGTATCTGCTGAAAACTAGTATCGATCGATGCGTTTATAGTCTCTATCTGGGTCACGACCTCTTGTTTACCTCGAAGTAAGGCTGAACGTATTCGGTGACATCCCCAAATTCTTCTCGAGTGTCATTTTAACTGTGATTTGAAATTTGATACTTCCCAGACTGGCTAGTTCCTGTTTTATTTTATCATCTATCAGTGGCTTAATATCTGCGACATCTATGTTCCTATTAACATGCATGCGCCAGCCTCTTAAATACTTACCTACAGCGCGCTCAGTGCGTACGAACTGTATAGTAGTCATTGTGTACACACATAATAACTAATGTCTAATTGGACCGCCGTAAAGGTAAAAAATGATAAGGTGTTATATCAACTATTTTTAGATGGGCTGTTTCGATCCAGTACTCGCATTCCTTGAAATTGATTATGTATTCCGATATACTTGTAAAACAATCTATCTGGTGTTGAGTCGTGATGGTCCTCCCACATACGAAGGGACGAGTATACTTAACACCCTCTTTAATCCATACCATTTTCAATATTACCTGAAATCTGAAGCGTCTCCGTAAGTTCAGTTTATCTTTGAGTATGTTTTTTACCCGAGATTCGATGTCACTGGGATCAAGGTCCACAAACATAGCTATACGTAAGTGTGTAATAATCTCTAATTGGGGTCTATTTTGAGAAGCCGTCTCCGTTCTGTTATGTATTCCTTTTTATTCGTAGATTAGACGATGCCTGACTACGTTCGCTCCGTGTGCTTTACATAAACAGTAGTGTCCTTTGACCCCTATACCACACACAGAACACAGCAGTAGTTGGGACTTCCCATGTGGAAACAACAGTACCCATGAGTCCCGCATTCCTACCTACGTCTCGGGTCTTCCCCATAAGTATATATTCACATCGATACATGTTTAGCATACTTTATATGTGTATTAGTCTAATTGTTTCACAACCAAAGCAGTCGCCGCTATACCCAGCGCTATGAAAGTCAGTTCACGGTCCATTTGTCCCTTGGATGGTGTGTGTAGTACTGAGCGAGTGTTGGCTTCTGTAGTGGCTCCAATCGTTTACCAGTTAATAAGAAGTATTCTCTCGCTAAGGCCAATGACATCGTGGAATGTTTGAACGGCATGGGTTTTCACGCCTGAGTTGTTCGTTAATGTAATCGATCCTCTGGAGGCGTTTTTTAGCGCATCAGTCTGTGCTGTTTGTAATTTCTCAATAGCTTAGATCGTGCCGTTTTCTTTCTTCCTGTATTTCAGCCGCGTGTGACTCTCGTAGTTTCGAGAAGAGGAAATTACTCCCGAAAATGCCAGGGCATTCACTAACGCCCCACCGACCATCATAGCTATCGTGGCCATCCTATATTTATTTCATAATATCTCTCAGGTATTATCCCTTGTTTTACTAGGATGTCTTTTGTGGCCATCGCCATACCAAGGTTCATTATGAGCATACCCATATCCTGCAGGTTGAAATCTAGCTTGATAGTTGGTTGTTTAAGCACCATTTTGGTCAACCGAGCGTACCCTACGGCTAGACTGGCGACCACTGTGGCGTGGTATGCGTCGTTGACGAACGTTTTCCCCTCAGACATTATGTATATGATATAAAAATATATATTTTATTGCATGATATGTGGGTTGACCTTTAATTCCGGGGGCGTAGGGTTTCCCTCACTGCGTTGTGTATATAACCACGAGATAGCCACGGCAGCAGTGCGCGATACAACCAACAATAATCCAGACGAGGTGGGTCACCTTAATAATTTTATGTTGGTTACACATCACCGCTTTTACCGGCAGCTACTCTCTTAGGATTCTTCTGCCTGTAGTGACTGTGGAGGGTTCACCTCCTGGGGTTTCCTCTCCAGTTGTTGGGGTGGGGTCTGCTCGG